ATTCTTGTACTATTGAGAAGTATAAGGTTCACTAGCTTGGGAACCATTAAAAGCAAGATTGATAATGCATTATATCAAACACGTGCTAAGAATCTTCCTCGTGATATGATACAGTCCATTGATTCTACTGTTGGCAGGTCATAAGATGTTAGACCTCATAACCTTGACATATGCAAAAGCTACTGTACATAGAGTTTTAAAAAGCTGTAGACTGAGCTAATTAAAAACTCTCCTTTCCTCTGATGCCACTTGAGCTAGTAAGGTGATGCAATTCAGAATACATCTGTAGAACAGGTATGACAAAAATGGAAAGAGCTCTCAAATTTTTTTGGCTAGTGTACTAAAATGTGTTATAGGGCTGGCAATAACTTAATGGCATATATTTATGTGACAATGTGAATGACTCCTGTGTCATTCATTTTGAAAAGGAAAATTAAATATGTATTTGAAAGGTAAAACGTTCTCATATTTATCCACATTTTACACTGCATCATTTAATACACTTAGAAATGTTTGGTTTCCAAAGGTATAGGTAAAGGTATAAAGGTATAGGTTCACTCATTACTGAGTGAACATTCTAAATACTTCTTAAGAAATGCATCTGAAGTAAAATGTTTTTGGATTAATTTTGGTATGAATTTGCAAGAGACTGTCAAACTTTCTGGTAATCACTGAACATTTGTTTCTACAAACAGCATTTTCTTTGAATAAAAAATAAAGGTTTTTTTTTCCACCAAAAAAAGCTCAGGATACTTCTCTTTGCTTACTCTAGCAAGAAATAAGTATCAGAGCAGGATCAAGGGGCAACACAGAAGAATATGAAGCACCAAGTAAACAGATTTGGAGAGGTTAACTTTTCTAATCAAGTTATACTCTGTCCATTAAATCTGCATTTCCTTTGAAATATGTACTAATCTGTAAATCAGCAAAGGCTTACAGGGCTCTGAATAGACAGCTGTGGAAAATGTAAAATATTTTCTCATACTGACACAGCAAAATATCCTACACATACCCTGGAGGTTCAGTTTCCAGATTGATGCCATTCTATTAAGATTTAGTTCTGTTTTCCTAGATCACTAGTTATGGGATTTGTAAAGAAAATGATATTAAACATTAGGAATAACTTGTGAGTGTTTCTGCTTTTGAAGCCTCCTAAAAACTGTAGTTAAAAAAACAAACAACTCCTGTTAAAGTCTTTGATGTGCATCCTTCCGATTGCAACATTTATAGCAGGAAACTGAACCTGAACTACAATCACAACGGCAACCTTCTTAATAACATGATGTGACTATTAGATAAATCAGTGTCTTAATCAATGGAATAAAATATACTATCTATTCCGCTAAAGTGTTTTGCCAGTCTAGAGTGAAGTGGCATGAAAATGGCAAAGAAAAACATAATTAGGCTGCAGACTAGAAGTTTCAAATGCACATTTCCTTAATTTAAAGGGTCTGGGGCCAGAGGAGGGGGAGTTTTTTTCCATTTAATGACTTAAGCACAGTGTGGTTTAAACAGCAAATTTGGTTTCTGGAACCTATTAGCTGCTAATGACTTTGCAGAGAAAAAAATTGGATTCTCTTATTACTGATTTGATTAGCAGCATCTGTAATGCCATGATGTTGTAAAATAGCTCAGTATTAAAACAGAGATATTTTCCACCATTTGAGGAACCAGAAACATAAACTCAGTGAAGGCCACGTTTCCCATGTTACACACACTCCTTAATTCTGCAGTACTTTTACTGGCACTAGAATTAGGAAAACAAAAGGATTCATAGATGTTAATAGATGGATGACAACAGTCTAAAGATGTTGCTATTTAAGCAAAGAGCTGCAACTATATTTCACATGTCCTTTTGATACAGAAAATTAAGCAAATGTTTGATTAATGACAGCACTGTAGATCGGAATTGCTAAAGAAACATCATTAAAAGAAACTACACTGTAGTGATTATAAGGGTAAGAAAGGGGAGAGTAAATATAATTAGAAGAAAAAAAAATACTTCCAGATATCTGATTTGCCTTACACTTAAAATGTAATAAATCTAGATACCTAAAAGGAGAAGTAGTAATCTAAAATCAGTTTTAAGATCCTGCCTACCAAGATGATGCAAAGCTTTATTTTATTAAAGTCATTCAATGGCTTTTTAAATATTTTAGGCCAGGGAACAGAATGTAAATGAATGTAACTCTGATCAGCTACAGCAGAGTTCAACCTAAGTAATTTAAGAATTGAACTGTTTCTTAATTTCTTTCATCTGGACAATGAACAGTTTAATCACAAATTAAGGGACCCAACAGCCTACCTAAACCCATGTTCAGACATACAGCAACAGAAAGAATAAGAATTACTAAAAAGTGTCTAACAAAATAAAGGCAACACTGAAGTAAAATTCCAAAGCCAGCATAAAATGGCACCTATTCTCATTCAGAAGTCATCTTCTAAATTGCTGAAGAAATAAACAATGTTATCTGCTAGTCTGCAGGCCTAAAACCAATAAATTGCCGATGCTACTGACAGGCCACAGACTTTGCACCAGCTCTGCAGGGCTGCAGGACTAGAGTTAGTCAGTCACATTTTCTCTAAGCTAGTCTTCACCTACTGTTTAGTTCATTTAATTGTACTAGCAATCTCTCACAAACACAAGCCATAGCCTGTTCTCTTTTAACTTAGTTTGTGATTGCATAGGCTATCGACTATCAGTGTAACATTTTTTGACATATTTCTGTACCTAAAGTAGATACTCTGCAGAGAACAAACTATAACTAGAATAAAAACAGTGTAGAGTACTACGAACATGGGCTGATAGAAGAGGTATTCAAATACAGGCACCGGGTGTTACCAGAGGGAGAAGGGATATAAGCAACTCATCATGTCAATTAATAGTCATTAAAAGAAAGCACCTTGGGAGCTGCATAAGGCTGATTTTAGGCAACAAAATCAAGTGAAAAATAGAGCAAAGAACAAGAGTCCTACACATATAAAACACATGTATGGAGAATTCAGACATAAGGATTTGGAGGCTAATAAACAAAGATCAATGTCAGCACCCTGAGAGAACCAACAGGCCATAATTCTCCTGCCCAGTGCCCCTGGGGACCAAGAGACCCAGCTACACCTGCCCTCGGGCCTGGGGATGCCATTATAGTCCCCCCAGGACCTACCAAAGCTATGTCACAGCTGTACCCATGCCCAGGCACATTTCTTCCCCACTTGTATCCACAAGTGGTCTTCCTGGCTCTGCATCAGACCAGGCTCATCCCTTTGGGTTGGCTCCCCTCATGGCACGGCTCCCCTCTCCCCATTTCCTGAAAACACATACAGTTAACCTCAAGCAGATCCTGCCATATGTCAGTGTTGTTACTAACATCTGTGTCCTCCTCCAGGTAAAGACCCTGGGACACTGACAATCAGCTGGAGCCTGCCCCCTCCCAAAGCTAGAGTTATCCAACATAAGACTTGGAGGAGCTGTGACACTGACTGCATAACACCAGGGAAAGGAATAGCTACACAGAAGGATGCACATATAGTCTGTTTTACTACTGAGACTTTTCTCCCTAGCAGTATCTTTTCTTTCTTATTCTGCTAATAATAGCTAGGACATAAATATTCGTTAAGTTTACAATTAAGCAAACAGTAAATGAATGGCTTAGCTCATAAGGTGGTTTTTGTTATTTTTTTTATTCAGAAACTGCTCAAATTGCAGCATAAAAAAACTGGTGGAGAATCTTGGTACCCTAGGCTTTTGTTTTGATGCCAAAAATTTTGCTTTTAACCTCTACAGTGTTCCACCATTTGAAAATATTTCAGATTTTGTTTATAAACTAAAGACAAAATATTGTAACTTTTGTTTCAGGGTTTTTTTGAGGAGATGGAATATGGTATCTAGGCAGGAGCAGCATAATTCCTGTAGGAGCAGGAGAAATAAAAGCAGCAGTGCAGATAACCCACACTTCTACAAGTTTGGTGGCCATTATCATAGCTCTTCAGGGTTTAGAAGACTGAGGGTCTCTCACTTGGTCTCTTCTTCGCCTTTCTAAAATAAAAGTATTTCTTAATTCTAAGTTCACTAAACCAATTCGTTATACCCTTGACATGCATTTGGGGGAAAGATAAAATTTTGCTATTGATTCACAACCTAATTCCCTGAGAACTGACAAAAATTTAGATATTGGGACTTCTAGATTGATACTATTAAAAAAAAATAAGATCAACAGTATCTAGAATACTAATTTTTTTGTTAATCTAAAGTTTCATGTTTACATTTATCATTCTTGTTAAATTAATTTTGAGATTGATATCAAAATGGCATATACACAGACATCTAGATATATCAATAAAAGCTATGAAATTCCCATAGGTGAAGGTAAAGATTTGTGTTTGGACCACAAAATAAATTTGCCTAGCCTTAAAGATAAAGCTAGACCATGTAGATCATCAAACTTACACACCTCTTCTTCCAACCCCCAAAACTGAAGTGGCTTTCTTACTTCTGAACAACAGATCACTGCATTACAGAAATGCCAGCAAAAGGCAAAGTTCCTGTGGTGCCAGAAAAAGCTGAATAACAGCAATCATTATTAAGGTGGCAAACAAACTAAAGCAAGAAAGCACATCGAAAATGTTTAGTTTTGCTCTAACAACTATGGCCTTGCAAACATCCATTGGCCTGATTAGCACAGGCATGACCTTTTAAATGAAGTCCATGTATACAACTGTGCCCTATGAGTCCATCAACATTACCATTTGGCCCATGCTGCTTACATGTTATTAGTGTATTTCTCCCTGCAGTGCAAAGGAGTGCAATTATTGTCACATACAAGGAAACAGAAATTCATTCTGTTTCCAAAACCTTCTGTCAGGCAGTGAAAACTTTGTTAAAAATAACATAAGCAATACTATTAAAAAAAAAAAAAAAAAAGAGGCATTTTAATATTAAAAATAACGTTCATATTTTTTTCTTGAAATATCTCAATGTTCAGGTAGAGAGCATTCCTTACCTCCTCTCTTGTTTAGCTTGGCATACCCTGGCACATAGCTGCTTGTCATAGATGATGAACTACTGAAGGAAGAGTGTGGTAATGCCGAGACCAGAGGTTCATCACACTTTTCTGAAACACAACAAAACAGATTCACTTTATGTTGTTGATTATTCTTTCATGTTAAGAGACAACGTGCCCTTTATTTTTCAGCAAAATTCAGTAAGAAAACCCCAACAAAAAAAACCCAAACCCAAACAACAAGCAAAAAACCCCATACTAACACCAACAAACAAACAGACACACACCTTACAGGAGAAAAAGACTTCAACAAAGGAAAAAAATAGGTAATGGTAATGCCTAAACATTGAGCTACCATTCTCCTTAGGGATACTCAAAACACACTAAAAGAACCTGACCTGAATATTACTGGTTACATGAAAATGTAGTTCTACAGAAAAGTATTATCATGAAAGCTTCCTAGGAAGTAGATTAGATATTAACTTTCAGTTTTGTAATAGAAGTGCTGATAAGCTGATATTTAAAAAAAAAAAAAAAATAAAATAAATTATGGTACATTAATAAATGCCCATGAATTGTCATATATTACAGATATACTAAAAAAACCTAACAAAATTATATTTTTAAAAAGCATATAATCTCTATAATCCATTTGAGCACTTCACTTCTATTTTATTTAGTCTAAAGAAGATTATCTTAGTATTAGCATATAAGGTGGAAAAAAAAGAAAAGAAAAATTTTTGCCTTTCTGATGAAGAAAAAAGTTTAAAACTAATCTGCTGTTGTATGAAGTTGCATAAATCCGAATGAAGAGAACTGGGTTTTGATGTTTCAAATACTCATAGAGCTAATGTACTGCTCTTTGTTCTAGTTCTTCCTCAGTTATTTCAACAGATGGGTGAAATATGCAGGTTACACTACTCATTTACATTTCAGGTGTAATCCACTTCAGCAGAAAAAAAACTCTGACCTATGCCAGTCAGTTTGACTAATGTTTTCAAGCACATGCACTGCAACACAGGCTCTGCTATGAGTGGAAACATCCCGAATATATGTATCAAGGAAGCACTACCATGATAGGAGGCGTATTTAACACTCAGCCACATCTCATAATTTTGGTGCAATTACAAATCAGTGAAACAGTGATTTGGTCAGACTGGATCACATGTGAAGACTGAATGAATGCTACCCTCAAAAGAGGAACTGTAAGGGGGCAAAGAAGATTGTGAGTGAATCAAGTAAGTTATAATGCAAGTCTCCTAAAATTTCCAGTCTCATGTAATGAAAAACAAAATTACTTTCACAGCAATAGAAATGGAAGCACAGAAATACAAAAGCATATTAGTTCATGAATCAGTACTTTGACATTTAACAAAATAAATAAGTTTCCTTCACAAATCTACAGGAGTTTGTTAAGGGGGAAAACAAAATTCATAGGCAAGAGTGAAGGGCAATTGCTTTGCACTGAATTAAAGGACCATTCCAGTGGCTTGAAAATTCACTACCACACTATTTAATGATGGAATTTTGACAGTGAAGAGAAATGGTTTTAAGCATTATTGCTTATACCACAAAACAGCAGGATCGATTCCCCTCCTCACGCTGCTTTGGCTGCAGCCACATGGCCAAACTTCGTGGGAAGCCTGCAGCCCCATGTGCACAGTGCCTTGTGCTCATTGCACACCACCCAACCTGCACACCAGGCTCACACAGCACCTCTCTCTGGCAGCACGGGTATAGCACAGAGCAAGGGCCCACATTCTAACATCCTAGCTGCCAGGCTGCTATTATTTCAGTCCAAGCAGTATGAGGTTAGAGCTTAACAACAGAAGTGAGCAGCAGATTGAAGTACTAATTACAAATTTTGCCCTACATGTCATAACCACAGAGAGTTAACCAACAAAGTTTTTTCCTCATGCCTTGCTTTATCTACAGTGTATTTTTGTTGTTGATAAAAGCAGGTTTTCAACTTAAAAGACTGCTAGCAAACTGCTCTTGCTGCCACTTCATTATTGTTATCTAGCTAGAGATCTGAAGATCATTTGCATTAATCCAGTTCTGTAGGTGTGACAGCTGCACTTGACCCCTTAACCACACTAGTGATAGATTGGTACATGCTCCAAAGGAGGTCAAGGCCTGAGCCATAACCAGGCCAAGAGCTCCTCTAGTTCCAGTCTGCTCTCTAAAAACCCACAAAGGAGCAGAGTGACACGAGCACTGATGCATATGAGCTTGGAACACCAATGATGCGATTAACACATGAAAAGCAGGTGGCTTTTCCAAGACTCATTTATCAAGGAAGAAAGAAAGTTATGGGTACAAGGAGTCTCATGAATACCTCTCCCATTGTATGCAATTTTACTAAAAGCCAATCACTTTATTGCAAAAATATGGCGGCATAAGTGAAACTTCTTTGTGCTCTCTGTGATGGCAGTCATCTCCTCTTGAGCTTGAACATCTCCTAAGGGTCCTCCTTGAAGCAGAGACACCTCTTAGCAACCACAGATCTTTGGCAAGTGACCAACATCGCACATAACCTTGCATTATAGCGTACTAAGATTCTGTCTTGGCAAGTTTGGTTTCTGTCTTGGTAGTTTTGAATCAATGTGATATTCTTTCTGCAGTACCCTAAGAGTGAATCTTGCCATCAAACTTAGTTAAGACACACTTTTACAACTTGGTATTTCAATAAAACCAGTTCCCTGATATGTTTGAAAGTGATTCTTTAAGCAGTCTAAACCGACCATTCGTGACATTAGGTAAAAGTGGAATAAACCAGTTAAAAACAGAAGAACACATAAGAAATATTTTAAAAACACATAACAAAGTCTTTTAATAGCATTTTCTTCTGCTTACCTTACATATTTTTAGTAGTTCAGTTTGCTACTGTGGAATTTGATTAATTTGTGAATATAATGTAAGGCTATTGGTGACAAATATTTTTAAGAGATCTGTGAAATGAAAGAGCTATCCTAAAAAAAAAACCAGAAAACTGTGAAAAGAAGGGATAAAAACGTGACCAAAATCTTAAATTCTGCAACAGAAAATTAAACAGGATTTTAGGCAATGTGTTCAGAAATAACACAATAGGTGAAAAACCACCTCTCCAAGCAAAGCTCAACAACTTCTATTCTTCTACTAATTCCAGTAGTTATTGAGAACATTTCCTTTTATTTTGACAACTACTACATTGTTGACACTATTGATGAAGCTATGCAAAAGGAAATAGAGAAAAACTTGTTTGGAAAGAGCACTAGCTTCTAAACTATCATCACTCTGTATTGCCTTCCTTGTCTCTCTGCTTCATCAACCCATCCTCCTGGATTCAAAAGAATAAGACAAGGAAGGTTGACATAGTCAAAAAAGAGAATAAACTGAAAAAAACCCACGGAGAGTATAACTGTATTTGCCACTGCTGTCACAATTTTGACAGACAGTCATGAATGTGCTTTGTTTAGTGTATCTGTGCTTTTGAAGTACTGAATCTGGACCTCTGATTTCTTAGTTTGGTTGGAACCACTCACATTTGGGTGGAAAAATCAAGCAGAGTTGATACAGTTTTTCTTCACTATTGTTTAGAACTGCATTCTCTTCCTATGCCTGTTTTGGGATAACAACTAATAACTTAAAGATTAAACAAAAAAATACCTCAATTTCTCATCTCCAGGCTCCAATCTGCCTGCTTATTTAAGCTTCAAAATACAGGAAATTCACGATAAATCTGTAGTAATTATAGGGAACGACTTTACTTCAAATGAATGTTTAAAAAGATATTAAATCTCATTACCTCACAACTTTAGGTCCAATAAAACAAAAGTTAAAAGACTGCTTACAGAAGCTAATATTTCTAGCCCTCTATGAAAGTTCCACTAAATATATTGCACTATTTTAACTCTCTTCATAATATCAAATGCTGTTATGTCACAGATTTAAGAGAGAAAAAAAAAATAATCCTTGGAACCTTTGGTTCTTTCAACAGTTTTAGTTATTTCCCACAGAATCAAATTTTTTACTTACTAAAACCAGAATCATATATACCTTCCTGTTACTGAGCTATAATAGCTTTCCCCATATAAGTCAATGTCCTGTGCCCTGTTAATCAATTACAGAGCACACTCGCCTGCCAGCATCGTTGCAGCAAAGAAATAAACTCTCCTCCATACCATTTATCTCAGTGATGTATTAACATCCAAGCCAGCTTAGGTCCATTTAAATGTTAACTTCCTGAAGCAAAACTGCATTTCCACTGCATTCTGTTCAGATATAAAGAACTGATAAACGTGTCATATGTATGATGACATTTGCTACTTTGACTTTCCTATTCAGAGGGAAATTAGTTTATGGCCATTAGAAACAAGTTTCCTTGAGTTTCAAACAATTAGATGAATGGCAGAAAGGTCACCTAATGTAACTAAATACAAGTGCAAAACCTCTGCAAGCCACAAGCTTCAAAATCCTTAAGACCTAAAGGTTATGGGAGGGAAGGACTGCTATGTGCTTGCTCTGTTCTTACATGCTTTCTCAGGCACCTGGATATTGGAAACCAGATGCCAGGTGAGATGCCTCTTTTGTCCCATTGCATGCAGCCTCTCCTGTGTTCTGGTGTTCACACTCAGCAAAACCAGAAAACAATACTCATCCTTTCCTGTTTCATAGTCTATTTATAGTTTATAATTGTACAGTTTATTTACATAGTCTACCCATCACACACCCGCTTTGCCTGCAATCACATTAATTCCCACTTAGTCCATGAACTATTTGGGTAACAGAGACCAAACGATCTGAAGTGACAGGTGTTGACTGTAGCACAAAGCAGGTGATATGCACACAAGATCTTGATTTATCAAGACCTATGGCTGTTAAAGCTTAATTTTCACTATACCAGTGACTTCAATGATTATTTTTTTTTTTATTTTATTTTTGTGGGAAAAGCAGAGTAAAAGAACTTGATGCTTCACTTCACAGAAGTCTATTCAAATGTTTAGCATCCTGATCAATAACCAGGTCACCTGTAAATTTGCTGCCATACCTTATCAAAGCAGTCTGAGTAGATGAAGAAGACAATCTACAGTTCATCTGTACTTTCTTGACATTTATATGTACCAGTAGGT